TGCCCCATGGGCTGCCTGTTGCTGCAGGGGTCTCTGGAGGGGCGCTCGGGGAGGGTTATCTGCCCCGCTGCCCCTGTCGCTGCTGCCCTACGAGCGGTTCCCGCTGGCCGTGGCTGTGGCCTGGCTGCAGCCGGGGCTGGGCCTTGCGGCGTCGGCTCTGCAGTGACCAGTGCTCAGGGCTGCTGCTCCGGCTCTTCCCTCCTGGGGCTGCACGGGCAGGACGTGCCAGCCCTGCTGTAAGGACACAGCGCAGGACAGCCACTGAAATGAGAGCAGCGGGGCTGGGAGTGGACAACAGGCTGTTCTCCTCCCGGAAACACAGGCTAAAGGGCTCACAAGGGTTTTGTTGATGGGGATGTGCTGTGTGGGACACGATGCACCTGCGTTGCTGGAGCAGCCGGGAGGGAGTGTCTGTCACAGTGGCTCCGTGGTAGCCTCCATCTCCCATGTCAGGGGAGCTGCCTGGCAGAGGCATCTCTGCGCTCCTCCTCTCGCTGCGCCGACACGCGGCAGCAGCAGAAAGCTCTGCGCAGAGCTCGCAGCGCTGAACACCAAGGGCTGCCCAAGGACTCCTGGCCTGGGCTCAGCCGGTCCCCGAGGGCATCCTGCTGCTGGCCTCAGCACCGATCGCTGTGTCGGGATGGGCTGGCCGTGCCCACAATGGCTCTGCAGTTAGTACATACCTGCCTCTGCCTCTGGTGTGTTCTTGAGGGCAGACGGTGTCTTCTCCTGCTCCTTGGGCTTAGAGGACACCTGCATGGGCAGAGCGAACCCCAGAGGCAGGTGCTATGAGTTGGCAGTTCTCAGCGCGCTGCTGCCCCTGGCTGTGCGCGGGAAGGGTTTGGGGTGGCTGTGTGCTGTGGGTATGCGCCAGCAGCAAGGGGAGGGCTGTGCAGCTGCCTGTGCAAGGGAAGAGGCTGGTGCTGGGGCTGCAGCAGCAGGGCTGTGGCAGGGGCCACGCCACGCCTGGGGCACTGGAGGCCGCCCCATGTGTGTCCCGAGGAGGCCGGGGGATGCTTGTGCTTGGGGGCTGCTGCTGGGGCTGCCCCTTCCCTCCTGACTCCACATCCGTGCCCCAGGGCTGCGCTCAGCGCAGGGCAAGCAGGGCCTGGAGCCGTGCCTGCAAGCACAAAGCAGCAGGCGTCTTGCCCAGGGCACACAGGCCAGGGGCTGAAGAGCTGGGGGTGATGGTGACTGTGGGCAGGGGACCATGGGATGGTTCAGTGCTCCAGAGCCACCCCACAGTGCCACAGCACTCTTCAGAGGGCAGCTCCCTTTGGTGCTGAGTGCTGATGACAAGTTCTTTGCTCCCGTGCTGAGGAGGTCCTGCAGCCAATTCAGAGCTGCCTGGTGCAGTGTCTCTGGGCTCTTGTGTTTCAAGAGGTGGGCTCTTGCTCTCCCTACCAGTACCGTCAGGCACAGGAGGAACCTGTGTCTCCTGCAGGGTGGGAAGAGATGGAGCAAGAACACCGTTTTCTGTGGCATCCCGAGAGTCTCCAGTTAGCAGGGAGGTGTGTGCCTTTGCTGTGGTGCTGTGTGATGGGACAAGAGGCACGCTGTCCCCCACGAGAGGCAGGTGTGCAGCCAAAAGAGGTGCTCCTGCCTCGACTTCCTGCAGCAGTGCTGGGATGGAGGGCGAGCTCTGCACGTCGTTGGCTGCCTCCCTCCCATCGTCTCCTTCGTTAATGCTTTTGCAGGCAGGCAAACCTGAGGCAGGTTGTTCTATCACCCAACATGCTCCTGCGGCTTGGGGTGACCCAGCTCATGCTCCATTTGTTCCCACTGGAAACTCTCTCCGTCATCCTCCACCTCCTCCTCACTGCACTCCTCCTGCTCCTTGTGCCATGCTCTCTGCACTCTCTTCCTGGCTGCCATCTCACTCTCCCTCTTGGGTGCATGGGTGTAGAGCCTCTCCAGCACCTCCCACTTGGACCTGGCATCCTTGAGGAGCTCCACTTGCGTCACCTCCGGTTGCCACAGGTTGTAGAAGGAGTTGCTGGTGTGGAGCTGAAGGGAGAGGGGGGGATTGGTGAAAGGAGCTCGTTTTTCCACCAGCAAATGCCCCCTACGGCCGTGCGCACCCCTGTGCAATCGCTGTGTTGCTGCGGGGCACGGTGGTTCGAGGAAGCTTTCTCACAGCTGCCCCAGGCTCTGTCCAGGGCATGCCAGGAAAGTCCTCTTGCGCTCCTCCAGCGGCTCCGTTTTGATGGAGAGCACGGACAGACACTGCGCGGTGTTGTCAGGGCGAACACGCAGCGCTTGTCCTTGGAGGTTGCAGATGATGCTGAATGGGGCCTCCCACGGCACCATTGCACCCTGGGTGCCAGCAGTGCTGGCTTGTGCCGAGCTTGGTGGCACCTCTGCGAAGTAGCTACTGCTGAGGCAAGCCTCCACTGAAAGGCTTTTCTCCATTTCCTCCCTGTGAAGGGCATCCTCTCTCGCAGCACAGGCTGTTTCCCTTTGGGGAGCCTCCGCAGCGGACACTTGGCCTCGTGGAGGCCACATCACAAGCTCTGGGGACACTGAAGGCTTAGCTCCCACGGAGTCCTGGCTGTGCACCTTCGTGTCCAACCCCTGTGCCTTTTCCAAAGGTCGTAATTAGGAAAGTGAGTGCAGTCCTTTCCTCCCAGTCTGCGTCCTCCCCTCCCGTCAATTCCCTGCCCTTCTAGGGCCTGAACAACAGCAGTGCTCTCCCACCTAGGAAGATACTGCCCTGCTCCTACAGGCAGGGTGGGGAGGGGGTTGTCAGCACGGGGCAGGAGATGGGCCCTGTACTTGTGCAATGATGTTTGCCAGGTCTTGTGAGCTCGGTGGGGCAGGGAGCAAACGCAACCTGTCGCTTGTGTGGGATGGAGCCAGGGTCTCGCTGTGATGCAGTGCAGCACGTGGATCCTGCTCGGCTCCCTGCGCGGACAAGGAGAAACACGATGGAGGTGCTTGTGCTGGTACAAGTGGCCCCTGCGGCACAGAAAGCCTCATCCCCTGTCAAAGGGATGTTCACAGCTGAACCAGGCCCGCTGTGCTGGCCCCACAGATGCTCTCTGAACATCAGGGCAAGGCTCACGGGCTCCATCAGCACCTTGGATGGTCCTGCTCGCTGTGCTTTGTGTGGACAGTCCAGCAGGCAGTACCCCGACATGAGAGAAGGTCCTGCTGGGCTGGTTTGCCCCGACTCCTCCTCCCCACCACCCTCATGCTCTCCGGTGCAGCTCCCATCCCTGCTGCCCGCCTCTCCCACTAGAGCCACCGCTCACCTCACTGCCATCTTCCCGTGTGTCAGAAAGCCCGTCCACAGGCTGCGAGCAAGCGTTCACCTGCCCCTCCTTCTCCATCTCCTGGCTGTGCACCAGGAGACTGGCTGCTCTGGACTCACAGAAGCGCTGCTCCCTCAGGGCGGAGCTGCTCTGCTCAGAGGACGCATCCAGAGTGGGCCAGGGCGAGGACACTGCCCAAGCATAAATACAGCACCATGGGCACCATGCCATCACAATGGCCTTGGGGACATGATGTCATCTCCATCACAAAGACCCTCTTTTCCCCGGGCCTTGGCACAAAGGGCTTGGCAGGAGCAGGGAGCCTGCCTGCCTTGGGAGTTACTTACCGGCGAGACTTGTCCTCCTCCTGCTTCTGTTGGATTTCCTCCACCCTTTCCTTCCAGCGGTCCTGAACCAGTTTGTACGCGGTGCTGACCTTCGCGTTCTCATTTGCCTCTGGCGGCTGATATCTGCAGGAGGAGGAACAAAGTCCTTCTCCTGCTCCCTGGGGACCCTTGGCACTTTTCCCCTCTGCAGTTCCTGCACACCCCCACCAGCAGAATTCAGGGGATGTTGTCTATCCCGGTAGGTATAGGGGATGCTGCGTGCCCCGCAGCAGAGGGATTTCAGGTGCTAGCCCATCTGGGGACAGGGACGGGTCAAGGTGCACCATTATCCCAGGCCACAGCTTGCAACTCGCGTGCCTCTGCACACTCAGTTGTCTGCTGGCATGCCTCTGTCTGCGGAGGAGCGCTGGCCAAGGTGTTGTGGCTTCTTGACCCTTTGCGTCTGTTTTGTAAGAGGAAGTAGAACAAACTTCCAGATGAGGTTCAGAGGGAGGAGTGAACAGGGGAGATGGCACTGGCCCACTCGCAGGGGGTGCACCTGGTCCAGGCACAGATCCAGAGGCTGCCACCCCCTCGCCCATTTCCCCTGGCTGCAGCCATCTCCCTCCTCGGAAAGGCTCAGCTGACTTGGCTGCTGGCCCAGGCAGGCAGGAATCCTCCTCCTGGGCCCTGGCTGCCTGCAAAGCCCCCTTGCCTGCCCGGCAGGCAGGAGATGCCCCTTTCTCAGAGGGCCCTGCACGGCATCCCATAGCTTCTCCTGATGTGGGGCCCTTTCTGCCACCACAGCCTGCTGTCTCCTCTGTGCGGCTTGCCCTTGCCTCCCTTTGAAGACGGAGATGCAGGCCGCCTTTGGAGCGCACTGCACGGAAGGGTGAGCCATTTCCTGGTGAAGGCACAGGAAGGCAACCCGATCACACTTTTGTGCGGTTGGGAAGGAGAGTTGATGCACTCTCATCAGGGTTTTTGTCCTTCACCATCTCTTCTGGCCCTGCTCTTGAGCCTCACGGGCTCTTTGCCCCCTGTCGTCACAGCGGGAATACTGTTCTCTCCTGCCCTAACTGAGCAGGGACCAAAGAGGCACCGACCTGTCCTCTAAGTCTTCAAAGCCAAACAAAACCTCTTCTGTGATCAAAAAAACCCCAGAAGAAGGTTTGCAGGCATTTTGTGTCGCAAAAAAGAGCCAAACTTGCATCATTGCAGGACACATCTCAGAGAGGCCACTGGGGGTTGCAGGGAGCCCGCCCTGACGGTCCTTTCCATGACATCCCATCACACACCTGTGCGGCAGCCCTGGGAGCAGCATGGGCAGCGGAAGTCCGAGGAGCGGATGGAGGATGTGGGCGGTGCTCCACTTTCCCCTCCTTCTGCCCCAAAGAATCCTTCATGTGCCCCACTTGTTTAATCAAGTTGCTGAGAAGACACCGTGGGAGGCAAGAGGTTGAGGGCAGGGAGCATCTGATCCCACAAGGGAAAGAATGGGATTCCCTGCAATCTCCAGTGACTCCTTCCTGGATAAACACTCCTGCACTAGGCATTTCCTTTTGGCTCCCCAAAATGAAAGGAAAGTTAAGGCCTTGGTAGGCTCCCACGCAAAGTGGTACATGCTTGCCTTCCAGCAGGAGAACAGCCTTAAGTGGGGTGTGTTGGAGGCTTTTTGGAGGCCTTAGGCCCAGCATGTACAAAGGGGCCCGCTCTGGAGCACAGAGCCTCCTCCCTTCCGCCAAGGCTCTCACCTGGCAGCAGGCTGCTTTGCCGGGCCTTGCCACCTGCTGCCTGTGCCTGCGTTGGGCAGCGCGGGCAGACACAGCTCCTGGCGCTGCTGCAGGCGCTTGCCAGGCTGCTGCTCTGCAGGGAGGAAGGGAGGAAGCTCTTGAGCAGAGCCTGCTGAGCAGCCCCTTTCCAGGGGGCTGCTGTGAGGCAGCGTGGGGGGACAGGGAGCCAACGTGCCCCGCAGGCCGGCAGCTTTGGCCTTACCTTTGGTGGGGCTGGTGCTCCTGAGCTCTTCGGCTTTCTTTTTCCCAGAGCTGGAGCCGGTGGAGACAGCCCTGGCTTCTGGGCTGCCTTTCTCCAGGAGCCGAAACCTGGAAAGCAGAGAACGAGGCAGGTTTGAAGACAGGGGGCTGTCTGAACCTGGCCTCTTGCTCCAGGACTCATGCTTCTTCCTGCCCTAGGAGAACTCCTCATTTACCAGATGCTTTGCCTCCGTGCACACTTCCCCGGGGGGTTGGCAGTGTCCCTCAAAAGCTTGGGAACTTGC